ACGGGCATATACAAATTTAAGAATTTTATCATCGGTGTTTCGGTTAGCCTTACTAGACTTCCCCAATTACGTTAGCAGTTTTAAAAGCGCTTCAGAGAGATTCGCGAGCTGTACAATAGGGCTCTTGGGTGGCGATAAGTATCATGTCGGAAGCAAAGTGTTCGGTAGTTAAGAAGTGTTGGATTTTTAACACACGTTCGAGGATGTGTTTCTCTATGATGTACTGGATCAGGTTGCAACAAGGGTAGATTAAACAYTTTTTTATCACCGAACTATGAAGACCAACCGGTAAATATAATATTAAATCAAAATAGATTACTTTACGTTTTCTCTTATGTAAAGCAAAAAAAMCGCTCCGGAAAAGCATCAGTATAGACGAGGGCTAACACTCCATAATCATCAATTACCAGAAGGGTATTTCACGGCCCTAAGGCGACAAAAAAAGGTGGCTATGGATATCACTTTTGACATTCGTTCACATCCACATCCACCTACACCTGCCACACCCACCTACCTATGAATTGATGCTGATAAAACAGCGTTTATCCCCGACTTAATTCCCGTTCGTCCTCGGGGTGATATTGATGAAGACAAAAAATGTACAATACAAATATGATAATCAAAGCTCTAGGCTGATTACATTTGTCGATGCCATATATGTCACGAATATATTAAATAATTCACTCCCTTATCATTTGTTTACGTCTGTATRATAGTAAAAGACTAAGCAAAAGGGATTCGAAATAGAATGTTGAAACTGAGAGACATGGGAACGAACTAAATAACGACTATCAAGCAATACGTACTCAATTCAGTACAAATTACTAGTCACGTGATTCATGCTGACTTTTTTTCGCTGTCGGTTGATAAAGAAAACCTGTGTAGCATATGGTAATCTTTCTAATCTACCAAGAGGATAAAATCTTGAATAAGAACAAAAATGTGCCGARCATCAGTCTAGTACAGTAGTATATATATATTGTGGTCATTTGACGCCATTGTATAAATATCCCATAAACCAGGTCATTATCTGTCTACAAACTGTGATCGTTTYTACAATGAAATGGGTTCCGATCAAAACAGATATTTGAAATTGACAGAAGCGTTGTTAGTCSCGCACAGATGTTGTAGTATTACTAAGCTCAGTAAGTATTATTATTAGAATACTTTYATACTTGTAGACCGTGTTTTTTTGTACCATCATGCGATAGCTGCGGGTGTTAACGACCAATTAACTAAGCAATATCTACAACATTAATCATGGTTCTGATTATCATCCAACTTTGAACGAAATACGGTTAAAATTCTCTTTTGATCAGTTTCTTTGATTGTCAAAAAGTGTTGACTTTCAACTGACTTCTGATTGCAAACCTACTTAATAGTCGTGTTTTGACTTCGTTAAATTGAACCAAACCATAAACATCACGGGTCTTACACAAGAATATTATGAACTGTATCATAAAGAGAAATATTATGATAAATTCAAGCTTATACTTACACGTTGTGCGATTTGGCGGTGGCTTAAAGTCAAAAGATGGTACTTGGACCATTTGTCTCGAAAATTAAAAAATACTTACACCAGTCCATCACAAATTTAGCTAACCAGTGGTTTCTGATTGGCCACGGACTAACATATAAATGCTGCTATGTCAGTCTTTGTGTAATTCTCTCTGTGATAGGACCCGTGATTATCAATAATTGTCATCTTTTCTCTGAGTTTCTGATGTCTCAAAAAGCAGTGAAAACGTCTCAAAAATAAAAATGAAAAAATGAACTTTAAAAAGAAAGTAAAATAGAACAAGTAAATTTCATACGTTTTGTATTATTTGTCCTTATTAGCACTGCCGGTTTCTTCTTCTTCTCTTTGTTGTCGTTATCAGTTATTAGTGTTGCTGCCGTTGTCGTCGCTGTTATTGTTGTTGTTGTTGTTGTGGTTGTTGCTGTTGTTTTGCTGTCGTTATTGATATTGCCTACGTCGACGTTGCTGTTGTCGTTGTTGATGTAGGTATTGCTGTTTTAGTTGTTGCTATTGGTGTTATTGCTGATATTGTCATCATCGTTGTTGTTGTTCAAGTTGTTACTCCTATGCAACTAGTATATAAATAATTTCTTCCGTTCAGTTATTTCTGCAGCAATAACAAAGAAACTAATAATGACCGTGTTTTAAATTAAAAGATCAGAATAATATTCAAAAAACAAGTCTGAAATATGATATGCTATTAAAGCTGGCTATCTTTTATATCGATATGAGRTTCGATATCAAAACAATTATTGAATTTGTTTTTTTTTTTATGATATCAGAAATAATCCCTCGGCAAACACAATCAGCTTATCAAAGGTTGTTCATCTTTTCTRACTAAACCAAATAACAACAAGAAAGCAAAGTGAGAATGTTATCAGAACAAGAAATATCTGTTGACTCTATATGTTTCGTCTTCGTCTCCAAGTCTGTTTAGATTTGATTAAATTCCGTATATGTTGTAGTCTCTAGGTTTGATTACATTCAGTGAGTCTCTCAGTCTTATTTTCAAGTTCCCATTTCMTATTAACTATGCCATTTACATGTCGGCCATTCTTTTGTTATTGACATTTCTGGGCGCCAAGACTTCCAACATGACTATTTATGATAACTCAACACATTATAATTAAAAAATGTCGTTTTTTTTCACCTAAATTCAAATGTTTTCATCTTGAATAAGATATTTTTTTATGGTTTAGCATCATTCGAGAATTTTGATAAGAACGTTTGAAGTTTCTCATAAGACCTCTCAGTTATTCGTTGACTTCCCAAGAGGCTATGCGCACCGACTAACTCGCGCTTTTGTACATCTACAATATTACCAAATATCTATTTTCGTGTAATTTTCAAATATGTATGTATATTTGCAGCTGTGTTTAGTACTAAATACAACACAACAATAGATTTTGGGTATTTTTATAAAATATAAAAAGTACAGTTTCTTGTAATGACTTTTCAGTGTTC